GAGTAACCATTGGGCTAAGACATGTAGGACTCTCAAACATCTAGTTGAACTCTTTCAAGAAATTTTGGAAGGGAATAATCCTGAGACCCACTTGATCTATCAAGATAATGAAGATGATATTGATCATGGACAAGATGATAATATGGAGTATGAAACTTTAAATTACTTAAAAGAATCAAGTTGATTTCGACGATCAAACTTTTGTGTTTTCTTTGCTTTATGTTTTCTTTGTTTCTTTGAATTTGTTTTGTTTCTTTGTCTACTTAAACTTAATAAATGAATGACTGGTATTTACTATGCCAAGATCAGTATGTTAGAATGCCACAGTAAACAAAGTCTTTACCGAGAACTTTACTCTTTGGCACGACCGGTTGGGCCATCCCGGTTCGAACATGATGCGAAAATTGATATCCAATACAAATGGGCACACAATGAAAGAAATAAAAGTTATCCCTAAGCACCTCACGTGTGTAGCATGTTCACAAGGAAAACTCATTGTTAGGCCATCACCAGTCAAAGTGACTAAGGAAACAATAAACTTTCTAGAAAGGATACAAGGTGACATTTGTGGACCAATACACCCACCTAGTGGGACGTTTAGATACTATATGGTCCTTATTGAGGCATCCACAAGATGGTCACATGTATGTATATTATCAACCCGCAACTTGGAGTTTGCGAGGTTACTTGCTCAAATGATTCGTTTAATAGCTCACTTTCTAGATTTTCCTTTAAAGACTATACATCTTGATAATGCTGGTGAATTCACGTCCCAAGCGTTTAATGATTATTGTATGTCCATGGGGGTAAGTGTAGAATATCTTGTGGCACATATACATACACAAAACGGCTTAGCCGAATCTTTTATCAAACGCATACAGCTAATTGCTAGACCATTACTTATGAGATCAAAACTCCCAGTCTCAGCTTGGGGACATGCAGTTTTACATGCAGCTGAACTAATTCGCATCACACCATCTAGTGAGCGTAGATATTCTCCGTCCCAATTGCTTACGGGTCACGAGCCAAACATATCCCATCTTAAAACATTTGGTTGTGCCGCCTATGTACCAATAGCACACCATAGAGGACTAAGATGGGTCCTCAAAGGAGGATTGGGATATATGTTGGATATGAATCTCCCACCATAATTAATTACCTTGAGCCAACCACGGGTGATGTTTTTAAGGTCAGGTACGCAGATTGTCATTTTGATGAATCCAACTATCCAACATTAGGGGAAGATAATAATAAGCTGGTAAAAGTAAATGAAATTACATGGTCTCAACCATCTTTGTCCTGGCAAGATCCTCGGACTCAAGAGTGTGTGATTTAGAAGTCCAAAAGATATTAACTTACAAAATTTAGCTAATCAATTGCTAGATTCTTTTATTGACCCGAATATAGTAACAAAGTCATATATACCTGCTGTGAATGCACCAATTCGTATTAGAGTCCAAGAAGGACACGATCAAGTTGCTACAGAGTCTAGAGCACGTTTGAAACGTGGTAGACTAATATGTTCCAAAGATAAGAACCCTCAGAAACTAAAGAAATGTGCTAATGAATCCATGGTCGAGGGAACCCTAGACATGGACGAGCCGGCCAAACCGGCCGAACTGGCTGAACCTAATGGGTCGGTTGAACCTAATGTGCCAAACAATGAGGTTTGGGACGCCAAACTTCAAGGTACTGAAGGTCATGATAACAATGAGATCTCAATCAATTATGTCATGTCTGGAATACTATGGAACAGAAAGAATTTCGACATTGATGATATATTTGCATGCAACGTAGCACTTGAAATTATGGACATGAACGAGGATCATGAACCCACGTCTATCTATGAGTGCACTCAACGATCAGATTGGATCAAATGGAAAGAAGCTATAAACGTGGAGTTAAATTCTGTAAAGAAGAGGAATGTTTTTGGTCTAATAATTCGGACACCTCTTGATGTTAAACCAGTTGGACATAAATGGGTCTTTGTGAGGAAACGAAATGAACATGATGAAGTCGTGAGATATAAGGCATGACTGATTACACAAGGATTCTCACAAAGACCATGAATAGATTATGAGGAGACATACTCCCCTGTGGTGGATGCTACTACTTTTAGATTTCTAATAAGCCTGGTCATAAGAGAGAAATTAAACTTGCGGTTAATGGATGTAGTAACTACATATTTGTATGGTCCACTGGATAATGAGATATACATGAACGTACCAGTGGGTATTGAGCTGAAAGACAAAGCAAGTTCTCGAGAACAATATTGTAGAAAGTTGAACAAATCACTTTATGGATTGAAACAACCAGGTCGAATGGGGTATAATATACTAAGCGAGTACCTAGTGAAAGAGGGCTATAAGAATGATTCAATCAGCCCATGCATATTTATAAATAAATTCATCCAGGGCTTTGTAATCATATCAGTGTATGTTGATGACCTGAATATCCTAGGAACCTCTGGAGAAATTTCTCAAACGGTTGAATACCTTAAGAAAGAGTTTGATATGAAAAGTTTGGGCAAAACAAAGTTTGTTTGAGATTACAGATTGAACACCTTAAGGTGGAATTCTTGTGTATCAAAAGATATATACAAAAAGGTATTAAAACGGTTTAACATGGACCAATCTCACCCATTGTCGAGCCCCATGGTCGTGAGATCACTTGGTCTAGACACGGACCCGTTTGGTAATAAGAAGGACGACAAAGAGTTCCTCGGGCCCGAAGTGTCGTACCTCAGTGCCTTAGGAGCATTAATGTACTTGGCGAGCCATACTAGGCCGGACATAATGTTTTGCCGTGAACCTAATGTCTAGGTTTAGTTTATGTCCGACCCAAAAGCACTTGGACATGATTAAACATGTTCTTCGTTACCTACAAGGAACGAAAGCTTGGGTCTATATTATACTAACCAACCCAAAGAAAAGTAAATTGGTTTTGCTGATGCAGGTTTAATTTCAGATCCACAGAATGCTCGATCTCAGACATGCTATGTTTTTACCCATGATGGTACTGTTGTAGCTTGGCGGTCCATGAAAGAAACGATGGTGGCCACATCATCCAATCATGCCGAGATATTGGCCATTCATGAGGCCAGCCGTGAGTTAGTATGGTTGCGGTCCATGACCCAACATATTAGAAGAGATTGTGGGATGACCGAAGACAACGAAGAACCGACCATCATGCACGAGGACAATGCAGCTTGTATTGCCCAGATTAAGGACAACTACATCAAAGGAGATAGGACGAATCACATCTTGCCAAAGTTCTTCTTCACCCATGATTTACAGAAAGCCGGCGAGGTCCAAGTGCTACAAGTCCGTTCAAGTGACAATTCAATAGACCTATTCACCAAGTCACTTCCAACCTCAACATTCAAGAAGCTCCGCATCAGATAGGAATGCGTCGGCTTAAAGACCTTTAGTGAGGTACAAAACAGGGGGAGTAATACGTGTTGTACTCTTTTTCCTTATCCATGGTTTTACTCGGTTTTATCCCTTTGGGTTTTGGTTTTTTTTTCTGGAAAGGTTTAATGAGACAATATCCAAAGCGTATTACATAGTTATGACATCCAAAGGGGATTGCTATAAACCATATTGTGGATTACCATAACCGAAACCAGAACCGAAACCGTACCGGACCGTCCCATTAAGGTTCTAGGTCGGCTAGTATTCCTGATCCATGTTGGATTAGGATTTTGGTGTTTTTCCTTTTCTCCATTGTATTAGGTTTTGTACTATTTATTTTTCCTAGTTAATTTAGAATTTTCCTTTTCTAAAAATATATAACTCCCTATATAAAGATACCTTATGTTTATACAATAATACAGAAGTATTCCTCAAACTTGCACAACATAAGTGGCAAAACAGAGTTTTTTTGGATCTTCCTTGTTTGGTGAACTTCAATCTGTTTTCTTCGGGGGCTTACGTTTAATGTCTCTCACTGCTCCCAAGGACCCTGAAAGGCATCCGAGCTCGAGTGCTAGTAATGTTCATGGCATTCGTGACCTTTGCGTGTGATATAAATAAACTACCAGCAACCACCGGTATAGTGCCGGGATCTAACAAAAACCGTGCTCCTATCTTGTGTGATGAAGAAATCAACCGAGCTAGAGGATAAATATCTGAAACAAAGCCGAATGAAATGCCTTATGAAAAAGAGGAACTGTTAAATGCAGAGTAGAAGCACTTGAAGCAGAGCTCATAGCTACTAAGAAGGAAACTCTGATGAGACGAGAAGAGGAAACCAAAACGGAGCTGTCTTTTGAAGCGCACAACTTAATGAATGCTTCTTAAAAGTGTTTTGCTCTTCTACTGTGTCTTTTGTTTATTTTTTCTTGGAAGAGAACAATAAGTACCAATAATTTTATTTCTTTGTGTTTATGAAGTAGCTTAGGAATAAAAACGGTAAGAAGAATCAAAGCGTAGCTATTTCAGTCAATTGTTTGAAAGAGATCAAGCAGTTGAGTAACACGGAAGCAGCGACCGGTGGTGAAAATAACAGTTCAGTAGTCTGGCAATTTTCCGAGTTTTCAAGCTCCAAGATAGAGAAAAATCCTCAGAGAATGATAGATCAAACCTTTTTATTTTGGAATACAGAATCTAGATAACTATTATTATTAAATGAATCGATGACAGATTTTTTTTATTGTAGAAATCGAAGATGAGAATTCAAAAGGATTTGACTTTAGAGAAAAGAAAAGATAAATCAAAGTGAGAACATTTACATCACGAAAATTAATTCGCTTCATCGGAGAAATGTTTCCAAGGAAGAAAGACGAAACGTTTGGGTTTTCTCGCTCTCCTCTACACCATTCTCATCAAGTTTTTTTGGAAACCGTAATTTTCAGAGAATAAAAAAATCTTTGACCCAAAACTTTGAAAGTTTTAATTTAAAAATACAATGGAAAACCAAGAGACCTTTAAATTTTGCTTTATAAAAACGAGACGAAACCAAAACTCACACTCACAACTCTCAAAAACAAGAAAAAAGTGATGACTGTCGAACTTCTCCGAGATCAGCAGACTGCATCTTCCAGCGATGAAGATTCTGTTGAAAACTCTTCCTCGTCGGAAGAAGAAGAAACTGACTCCGAATCCGAATCCGAACCGTCCGTAGGTTCCAAAAAGGTTGAAACTTCTTTGAAGCCCAACACCACGGCAAACTCTTCTTCGTCCAATCCACCTCTCGTAGATTCCAACAAGATAGAAACTTCCAAGAAGAGTTTAGAAGATGCCTCTTCCTCGGAAGAAGAAGAAGAAGAAACCGATTCTGAATCCGAAACCGAGCCGAACGCAGATTCCAAAATTGTTTCGACTTCCTCGAAGCCCAAGGCCACGACAAACTCTTTGTCGGAAGTAGAAACTGATTCCCCAGTTGTGAAACTGAGGCCCACTGAACCTTCCCTGTCGGAAGACGACGAAGAAACCGATTCTGAACCCGAAACCGAGCCAGAAGTAGAGCCCAAGACCACGACAATCTCTTTGTCGGAAGTAGAAACTGATACCCCAGTTGTGAAACTTATCCAAGAGAGGCCCACTGAATCTTCCTCGTCGGAAGACGAAGAAGAAACCGATTCTGAACCTGAACCCGAAACCGAGCCGGTCGCTGATTCCCTAAAGGTACCCGAGACCATGGGAGTCGAAACTGATTTCCCTGTCACGAATCCAGTTTTGAAACCTCTAGCAGATTCCAGCAGTAAGGCTGAAGCTTCCTCCAAGAAGAGACCTAGTGAGACAGATGAAAGTAGAGGCAAGAGGGCCAAGAGAGTTGATGGAGACGACGGAATTGATGATGCAGAAGCGACAAAGAAAAATTATTTTCAAAGAGTTTGGACCAAGGGAGACGAGATTGTGTTATTACAAGGTCTTGTAGACTACAAAAACGAAAATGGGTCTGATGACAAGAAGGCTTTGTATGAGCTCTTGAAAGATTCTATTAGCTTCAAGGTTACTAAAACCCAGTTCTTGGAGAAGATCAGGTCTTTGAAGAGGAAATTCGACAACAATCTTGGAAAAGAGAAAAAGAAAGGAGAAGCACTTGTGTTTTCTAATCCTCACGATCTTGAGGCGTTTCGTTTGTCAAAGTTTGTTTGGGGAGATAATGAAATCGTTGCTGTTGCTGCTAAGAGAATTGAGCCTGCCCTTGTTGAGCCGACACAAGAGTTTGTTTCTATTATGGATTCAATAACTCGTTTCGGTATCGATGATCTGGTTGCTAAAAAAGGTTGGAATAGGCTTTCTTCGGAGGATAAGAAGAGTTTTGAGGAGGAATGGCATCTTGAAGAACTCAAATTCAACTCGGGAAAGAGCCGTATTGTTCGTAATGTATTGAGAAAGATGGCTGAAGCTTCCTAACCAGATCATTAGATTTATTATTCTAAGATTGGTCATGTGTTGAAAGACCACCACCCAAAAGGACTTCTCTTTATTTTAGGTTTCGTTCTTTTTGATTGATTCTGTTGGAAGCATTGCACATTTTGTTTCAAGTTTGATTTGGTTCCTTGCTATCTCTATCAAACTATCACACAGCGTTAACTTAGTTACATCGTGGCTTTGCCAAATAAATAAAGGACCAAATCAGTCATGTCTGATACATAAAACGATTCAGTCCCAATCTTATGCTTATGTTTCTTAATTAAACAAGTGAATGAACAATAATCTCACATTTGGTTTCAAGGAGGCAAATTATGCTGCTTTGTGTATGGATCAAATTTAATTTTTTAAAGAATCAGAAAATAATCTTGCAATTAAGTTGGATGATGTAATTGATGTCTCAGAGTAGACAAATTCTTTCAAATTTGAAGAATCAGAAATTATCCATGCAACCACTAGTGTTTTAGCCACTTGGTAGGCGCTTGTTAGAGGGTATAATAACCATATAGGCAGGGCTTAGGCTGGCAGAGGAGGATATATATATATTTATGTATTGAGAAGAACATAGCCATTGGAGGTGGCGAGTTGGTTAAGGTTTGCTACCAGTTTGATGATAGATGAATTTCCAGTTTGAAATGTTGAGGGTGAGTGCAAAAGTCGTAGCTCGACTGCGATGACCAATCTAGCGTTAAAAAGCTTGTGGGTTTTTCATAAAATGGACGGTTTGGAATTGTTTAAGCTCACTTGAAGTACTCCGGGTTAATTATATGTAGAGTAAGCATTTTTTTTATCATATATCAAGATAGAATGTTCTAATTAGTTAAATTTCTTTGTGGACAGGGATAGATTTAATGAAGCTTATATCTCTCTTTTAATATTGTAAGATTTTTTCATATTTAATTTAGATCAGATTTTATGTATTTTGGAGTAACTAATTTTGAAATTAAGAATTATAGCTAGTTTATCATATTAAATTTTTATATATAACAAAGTAAACAATAATTATTGGTTTTATTATCTTATGTTTTATTTTTATGGTATAAAAAAAAACACAAAACTAAAATATAATACACTAAATAAAAAATATTTTTGACATATAATATTAACTAATTTAATTTAGTCACATGAAATATTTCAAGAAAACAAAATTGGTTTAATAATTCGTATAAAACTCATGTTTAAAATTAAATTATTAATATTATGTTATATTTTAAAATATATAAATAAAAATAAGTTATGAAAATATGATTAGTTCTATTTCATCAAAAAAATTTAGATATATACACAATTTTCAAAATAATATTTGTGTACATAAATCAAAATTGTTATAAAATATGTCTTTCTATAATTTTATTTTATATTTTTAAAATAAAGATATATCCGTACTGGCGTGTGTATTTATCTCTAGTATTTATTTAGAGAAAAGGCCAAAGAATATCTGCACAGAACAAGTTCTAGTTAGCATTAATCCACAAGAACCGCAGAATAGAAATTTGATACAATTGCCCTTACATTCGTTTCTGCCTTCACAGAATTATAGGTATTTTCTTTTTCATTCTTTTTTGCCATCTTAGGAACTATTTTCCAAGTACAGAGAAAAAAAAGCGAACCACAATAAATATTCCTTCTGGAAAATTTCGGTCGCCAGACGACGACTTGCTTTTCATTAATCCAAAATGACATAAGTATCCCTCAAATCCCACGAAGAACTCTTCAAAACTGTTTCATCTACTTCTTCCCCTCCTCACTTGTTACTATTTCTACAGTAAACTCCTTATTAACCCAAACCCAAAAAATGAAATCATACAAAGGATCATCGGTTCTCGCTACCGATCATTACCCATTCCTCTACAAACAACCAATCTCCTCTCCACCCGCTTCTTTCCCTTCCACTACCCTCTCTTACCCGACCCGAAACCGATTCTTATCCACCCGGATCCAAGCCCGAGTAAGCCACGACGATCCGGTAGTAAAACAATCGGAGGATTTAAGCTTCTACGATCTCCTTGGCGTCACGGAATCTGTTACTCTCCCGGAGATCAAACAAGCGTATAAACAGCTTGCCCGAAAGTATCATCCCGATGTTTCGCCTCCGGATCGGGTCGAGGAATACACAGATCGGTTTATTAGGGTTCAAGAAGCTTACGAGACTCTCTCGGATCCTCGCCGGAGAGTTCTTTACGACAGAGATTTGTCTATGGGATTCTCTTTTTCGTTCTCAGGTAGACGGAGGAGTCGATACAATGAGGTATATTCATATTCACATCCTTCTTCGTCTACGTTATCCGTTTCTTCCCAGAATCTTACCAGTTTCCTGTTATTGATTTTGCGTACCGTAAAAATTAAAATAAATTAAAAAAGAATAAACAGAACCGGTGTTTGGTTGTATGGTTTTAAAAATTTAAGAGAAGACAATTATCATTTAAATTTTAATTGGACAATTTTCATTTAATTATGTCACACTCTTATCCCAGCGACGTTGATATTATCGATTATGATATTTCTGTTCATATATGCACAGTCAAGTATTATCCTCAAAAAATATTACAGTATATTTTTTTTGTATTATCCTCAAAAAATATTACAGTATATATTTTTTTTTTCCAATATGTAAGAGATTTTCATCCATAACCAAATTTAATAAAAATATATATATTTAAATCTTACATTCAAGAAAAGAAGTGAACTTATCAAGGATGGACAAGTGTTTTATAATAAGGTTCTGATTATTTTTTCAAACTCAATATGAAATTTATTTTTATTAATTATGCCTCTATTTATTTTATTTTTATAATGAAATTTTTACTTTAAATATTGTGTGTATCTTTGTCGCCAGAATTGACATTTGCTTTATTATGGTCCAAAAAACACTGACCCATTTGTGAATTATTAATTTGAAAGCAGTGGAATAGAGAATGTTGACATTTTCAGCTGAGACTTTATTCAGCTTTCTTCTCTTATTGACCCTACTACATGACTCTTTCTAGAATTCATTTGTTTGTTTTACCGTCATGTTTCTGAATGTCGAACCAACCAACCCATTTGTAAGCAATCGTGAAATGATTCTGAGTTTCTGGTGATTGTTTGCTAAAGCAGGAAGTGGAAGAAGAGAAGAGTGAGTGGAAGAAAAAATGGCAAACTCAGCTCTCAGGACTAAAGGAAAGAAGCAATCAAAGAAACAACAACTCAATGTCTTGGGCGGCTAGAATGCGCCGTCAACATCACACGTCTGAAGATTCTTCTTAACCCACTACCACCATATCCCGCCTCCTTAATTTATAGGTTTTTAAATGGTTGCTGTGATTGTCCAAAAAAAAGGTTGCTGTGATACAGAAAGCATAGCATAAATTACAAATCTGTATATATATAATCCTTTTGTGTACCTATAACAATCTGCAAGCACATCATAAACCCTAATCACCAAATAAGTTTATTTTGTTTGCGATTTCAAGTGTTGTTTTACAATCGAAATATCTGAATTAGAGTTGTGGCTGCTGCATGTGTAATAGTGAATGAGTATGACAAAAACAAAACAAAATGGTTCGACCGTCGAAAAAAAAGAAACAATGGCGTGGTCGGAGATTTAGAGACGACAAACAATATAACGGTCCAATTATAAACTGTATAAAGAAAAAGTTGCTCAGGTTCGTTTAAAATTTACTAGCAAATGAAACTAACTAGTACTGTTAGCTACCTAGTTGTAACGTCAACTTTGTACAATTCACAAGTACCATACGAAAGATTATTTAATTTAATTCTATAACAACGTTACAATACTCGCTTAACAGATCATTCACCAGCAGATAAAGCTGAAACAGATAATTAAGCAGCACATCAAACCTTAAATCACGAAAGGAAAGAAGCAACAACAAACATTTCATCTTTTCACGTTTACTTATTACTTAATCATCAACACTTATGACGCGATCAAACCAAATTTCTTAAATTCCGATTTTACCCTCTCCATCTCCTCTTCCGGCAACGTCATCATCACAACCCTCTCCTCCGATTTCGCCGCCGCGTAAACAACTACCAATCCCTCGTCCCCAATCCCCTCAACATTACAGTACACTGATTCCGGCGACTTCCCCATCACTTTCGCCTCATACAAATCCACTTCACACAAATCCACAAACGTCAACTTCGCTCCGTATACAACGAAATCTAAACTCCCACCACAGCTCTCTCCGATCTCATCGATTCCAGATCTCTCGTCCGTCGCTTTCTCGATACTTCTCACTAACTCATCCACGCTCGCCTCAGCCACCGGAAAATCCACGTGGACGGAGCTTATCATCTGACCGTTTCGAATCGATCTGATTGGTTTCTGATCGTTAGGATCCTTTCTGATGATCGTAACAGTTACAGGCTCTGGTTCTTCTCTAACCCTAGCTATGCATTTCCAAATGATTCCGGCGAGAATCTCGAACACCGGAATCTGATCATCTCCGTTCGCCGGAAAATGTGGTGAGATTTTGTCGGCGATTGCGAGGTTGAAACAGTAATTCGACATTTTCTTGTTATTCGGAGTGATCCAGAGATCTCCAACCGGGTCAACCCGTTTTATTGATTCCGGGTCTTTAAACGTTGGGTTTGGGTTCAGATTCTTTCTCTCAATAGTAGAGGTTTCCGGGGCAAAGATCTTTTCCCCTAAAAGGGCCTTAGCCCATAAGCTGTAGGCATAGTGTAAAGAGAATGAATCTCCCATGATGTTGGCCCAGCTCAGACCGAAGGCTAATCCTCCGCACTTAAACCGGGTCATCTGCAGATACAAACCAAGATAATTTGGTGGTTATTTTACTTTTGATATGATAATTATAATGTTCAAAGTTTCGGTGGGCACCAATCTTATCGTCTGTTGAGGTTTAACATACAGTAGTTCAATAAAAAATCATATGAGGGTTTTACACATTAGAAGGTTTTAAAATGAGATACATTGTTTTGGCTCCATTTTTTTTGGGCATACAATTTAGCTCAGTTTATCACCAGTTATGATTAGTATTTCTTGAATTAGCTCAATTAGTTATTATATATATGATGATTAATAAGTCAAAAGTTATACGAGTTTACTCACTAACTAATACTACTAAGTATCTATATTAATAAAAATTAAAATAATAAATTTTGGCATTTATTTTATCAACTGTAACTCTGTTTTATAACCGTTTATTTTAATCAAAGAAATATTTCAATATTTTATATCTTTTTTCTCCTGCATTTTTATTCTATTTATAACTATCCGATAAATTTCTTTCATTCATGAATATGGAGTAATTTTGTATTTTATCCATATGTATCATCGTTAATCCACACTACACTGGTTTTGTTGTGAACAAACGTGAATCAATTCGAAGAAAGCAAAACGATAACAAATCAAATCGAGGCAAATACCCATTTCAAAATTTGTATATTATTGTTTACAATCTATTAAACCTATATTTATAGCAATCTCAAAATCTTATTTTCTTTTCAATATAGAAATACATATTTATATAGAAAAAGTAATTTTTTCTAACTCAAAAAGTATGCTATACCGTGGGGATCTCCGCACCACCCAAATATCAATTTTGATAGCATCTACGATCCAACAAATATTAAGTTTTCACTGGTGTACAAATATTTAAGATACATCTAGATACAACAAATTTTAATCATTCTCTTACTCTTTTCTATTTGTTCTTATGTTATTATATAAATATGACTATTTTATGTCTTTGATTTTCGGCTATGTTGCTTCTACTATAAATGTGTTTTTTTTTTGTCACTGGTCTGATATTTTTATGTCACTGGTGTTTTTTTTTTTTGTTTAGACGTTATTTAAAATTTTTGTCAGATGTTTGGTACGTTTTCAACTGCGTTATTATACTATATCATGTATATTTTGATAAAGTGTAGTTTTGCTTTTCTTCTTTTTTATAACCGCACAATTTTATAATAACATTGTGAATGCTGATTATTAGCGGTTTGGCAAAGAAAAAAAATAAAAACCGTAAGTTATAAGTTTCCATTCATAAACTTAGTGTGAAAAGAACAAAGCAATAAAATTATTGAATATTAATTTAGGAAATTTACTAATTTTTAAATTAATCTTCACCTTTTAGGTTTAAAATGAAATGATTTTTGAAGCCTATTGAATTTTAAAACAGTGGATAAAGAGTCAGTTTTAAAACGGTTCTGACCCCAACGTCTTAAATGAGTAGACAAAAAAAATTCTGGAATTAGTTAAATACGGCCCTAGTGTTTCTTTTTAATGTGGCAGTGCATATTAATTTATTGCAAGTTATGGGTACGGTTAGATCTTTCGTGTATTTAATTTTTTTTCTGATGACAGGAAGTATACATTAAATGTTTCTATATTTAATCTGTTTTTCTTGATTAGGGTATATGGTCAGAAAGAAAAGTATACCCAAGATAGATTTCTTTCGCATTCTAGTACAGTTTACCGTTTACCTACTAATTGCCTTTGTTTAAATATCAGACCCCAATCTGTAACATGGTTTGTCTCTTTTCTGTTCTTCTGCTAAATATATGTGTTCCTTCTTACACCGTTCAGATTAATCTTTAGGTGAGAACAAACCAGTTTATGATGATTGACATAAAAATCAAGATGCCCTACCAAAACCATGTGGTGTGTATATATAATAGAATATTCCAATATATTTTATATATAATCACACAACTAAGTAGAATAACCCAAAAGATTGGCGATCTTAGTAACCTCTTAAAGTTAGTACATAGTGTTATTGTCTAAATCGAAAATTAAAAGATTTACTCCAGATATTAGAAAATTAAAATTAAACCAGTCTTCAAAAGGGCCAATCTTCTCTTGTTATGATGTGTTACGTTTTACAAGTTCATCAATTCACCAGTCATAACATAAAATATATATTTCAATAAACATTAATTTTGTAAAAGGTAATTTCTTTCGTCAACTTGAAAAGTATTGCATAATACAATATTATAACCGTTATATGAGTCTGGGTATAGTCATATCTATTAACGGAGAGAGGGACCAATAATGCGATTTGTGCATGTTTAACTAAATGAATATGGTTTATTTCAAAAAAAAAAAACTAAATGAATATGGCAAACTAAAGAAGAGAAAAATATTTTTGTTGTTAAAAATGAAAGAAATAATGATTGTAGTCAAATTACCTGAACATAGATCAGTGGAGAGAAAGGCAACTCTGGTCCAACAGGTCGATGGTAAACAAGAAACTCATCAGCTGACCGGTCCGGTTTACTAAGCCACTCTTCCACCGTGAAATTGCATTCACCTTCCACGAAACGCGCACCGCAGTCGTTGCATTTGATGTACGGACGCCCCGAGTCTCTCCGCCATAACCTCCCTGTGGTCCATGCTATATGGTCGAACAGTGTGAACATAGCGTCCTTCACGTGTTTCACGGTCAAGTCACGTGCCATCTCGGGCATGTAAATATACGCCGCCTTGAGATAGTGGAGCTTAATAGCTAGGTCTAAACCGGTTGGTTCGTGGGTCGCACCAGTTTCTGTTGGTCTGGCTGCACCCACCGTCGATAACCGCATGTTGTATATCGGACCCTGACCCTGACCCCGTTCTTGAGATCGACCCATGATGGCTCAGTTGAGTTAAATTGATTCTGTGTAATCTTGAACTAACTAGTCGATGTATGTATACATTTCTCTTTCCCTCTCTCTCTCTTTGTGCTGTGTAATACTAATATAAATTTGTTGGTGATGGATCTGATGAAACTCTTGTGTGTATATATGTATATAGAGAAGATGGGTGCATTATTGGATACGACAGATGATTTATGGAGTAATTGACAGTAACGAAAGTGGAGTAATTAAGAGAGAAGATACTCGAGTATTTTTTTTTTGTTTTTTGTGTGAAAATACTGGAGTACTACTCCCTCTATATTAATTTGTTGCATATTTTAACTTTTTCACATATATATATTAATAAACACGTAATAAATATATAGTTATTTTATGATTATCATTTTCCTGTAAATATAAATCATTGAGAATCCGATAAGCGCAATTAAGTTTTTGAAAATTGTAATTAATCATTATTATTTGATAAAATATACATTAAAAATATAAAAGATGTATTTTTTTGAAACAAAGTTTTTTTCTAAAACATATAACATTATGAACAAGAAAGAATAATAAAGATGAAAAAAAAAATTCAGCGTAACTGTTTTTTCAGTCTGAAAACAGCGAGGGAAGAAAATGAACTATATATACCTTTAATTACACAATATTCATCGTAAAAAAAAAAGAAAAATTGTTTTCACCTGGTAAATATAAGTGGAACTAAGAGGACAAAATAATTTTTGCTAGAACATTCTCGCTACAAGTGCTATGCAGTCATATCTATTAGAGTCATTTTACACAAAGATTCACTTTATGAATTTATATTACATCTTAAGACACTTTCAACTACTAGAGTAGTTTTTCAGTGTGGAATGACACGTTTACCTTTGACATCAACTTCTTTCTCTTTTCTTTTGTTACAACCTCTCAACTCTCTATTCTCTTTCCCAACGAAAGAGGAGCTAACCTCTTTGACCAAAAAAGTCATCTTACCCATCAATATCTCTTAAATCGGAAGAACCTCCGCCCAGTCTACCTCCATTGTCTGGAGATTAAGACTTCACATCCTCATATTTACGACAATCTCAAGTGGTTAGCTTCAATTTGATAATGAATCCCTTGAATTCAGATGAAACCCTAATCTCTCAAAAATTGGGGGAAATCATTACGGTGGTGGTGGTTGTTGAAGATACCATAACCTCGCCGCAAATCACCACTCAGCCGGAAGACGAAGCACTAAATCGAGGCTTCTCTCTTCCGAAGAAAGAGATGAACTTTTTGTCGCTTTGAATGTTGATCCAAAAATTTATGTAATTCAAGTGGATTTAGGTTTGGTAATTTATGTTATTTGATTCATTGGTTTGTGATTTTAGTCAGGAGTTGCAATGAAAAAAGAAGACAGAATGAATATATTTTTTATTGTTCCTCTTATTTCATGCTCTATATTATTGGAAGAATGATAATTATTTCTGCGTTTTCCATTTTTGGCTGCTTCGTTAGCTATTGAAGAGATTTTTCTGCAAGATAACAACAAAGATCGTGTTTTTACTGAGAGTTATAGGTACTTTATGGCTGGTCTTATTTGTCAGGTGAGATTCTTGTCTTTTATTTGTACAGCCTTTTTTTGCAGTTTGAAATTGTTCTCGTCATATTCATATTGAAAACAATTCTTCATCGCTACTTCTTATGGAGAGAGTGAATGATGACTCATGTTTCACTTTTGTTGAAGCCAGTTCATGGTTATGTTATACATGATAAATTTGAGAGGAAGCTTGGATTTTTTCAGAAGAAACCGTGGTCTTATAATTGTTTTCCTAACCACAAGTGCTACTTCGATTGGACAAGAATGATGAGCCGCGATGGTGACACAAATGAAGGAGATGCAGAAGACGGTGGAGAAGAAGAAGCTGAGTGGTGGATTCATCATTGCAGATTCACCTTGGGAACTTAGGAAAGATGGCTTTGATCGCAAATCTGATTGTGCTGTCGTTTGCGAAGTCGCCAGAGATAGAGAAGTATGATTTAACAATGAGATGGTTGTCTCCGCCGAAGAAAAGGCCAATGAGATATTTGTCTCAGCCGAAGACATCCATTCTATTTCAATCTTACGTTTCGTTTTAACAGATGTGGATATTAGTAACCAGTGTACACATGGATAGCAAATAAACAGTGTACAAATGGATAGTAATTATATTGTACATGTAAATTTTGTTGAATTACTTGGAACGATGTGAATTGAATGTAATATGTGTTAGAAAATGTACAGAAAGCAAGCTTACAAAGACTCAAACTGAGAAATACAAGGATGGTATTCATTTTATTTTCCATCTAAAATGAGCTTGTAAGTGTCAAAGCTTTGTTTGGTTCATCCACTGGTGGCAAGAAGTTCACAGTAAATATGGTTATATCAAGAAGTGAAGAATTGAGAAACAAAACAATGATCTTTATATATTGTCCATGATATTTATATAATGTCCATGTGGATATATAATTTTATTTGTAGTTTTGTACACATGAATACCAATAGAGTACATATGTAACTCGTTACTCAGACAACTATTTAGGGTTCCTATAGCTCCCTGTAAAGTTTGTTGAAAAATCCGTTCACGGACTGCCATCATATTAGCAAATAAGCGTATTCCTAAGCTTAATGCGCGAAAACAATAAGAAATTAACTCAAGGAGTACTAAAAAAGGTGTTAACAGCAGAATTCACCTTGACCGGGCTCTTCACCATAGAACCTGTCATCGATCGACAGAGCGGAACGACCAGAAAATAAGTGATGTTAGTGTGAAAATACTTTCTGATGTCGAATTCTAAAACTAGCAAGAGATTCCACACTCTTCTTTGATCCGTCTTAGGATGAGGAACGCATTTTTGTTATGCTACAAATATTTGTACTTGCTCTGCTATTCTGCCCAAGCCTGGCTGAGGAAGAGTTAAGGGAAAATATAACTTGGTCTTAACCATCACTATATTGGTTACTACTTTGAGATGTAAAAAGCTATAAAATGTTTTCTATATGAGTAAGGCCACTCTTGTGAAATTTAAAACATGTCCACCTTAGGTGATGTCCATGTGTACACCAAATCGTGTCTAGCATGAAGTATGTGTACATATTATTATTAAACCCAAGTTTCTTATATAAACGTACACAAAATTTGAACCCACATATTTGCATGTTTGGCCATTATGGATAGCAAAACTAGTATCCACATGTTAAATATATCCCTTGTACATAGTTATGATGATATCCAATGTACATCCATACCCGTGTACATCTTCGGTTTAAAGGAAAAAAAAGAGAATTAAATAAGTTACATTTCGCTTGGCCTTAACATATAAAAAGAGAGTCGGAACTTCATTTAAGAATGTGAGATGAATAATGATACATGATGAAACTTACACTTAATTAAGAATCTTCTATACGTTGGTAGCTCTAATGAGTGAAAATTCAACTCATAAGCACTAACAATCGGTTACACATATACTTTACGATCTAGCAATGTAGAGACCAAAAACCAAAACCAAAATGAAGAAATAAAACCAACCCCATATAACTCGGCCCACGTAAAATTAAATTTATTCCTCTCCATCTTCTCCATTACAAAACTCAAGTTCTTTGCACCATACTGCTTCTCACAAATACTCTTCCAAAACTCATTAGTGACTGGACTAAGACCCACATAGCATCACTGCCGGAGAGAATTTGAATCAAACATCTTTAAATCTCACCCACAGAGAATTAATCTCCTTGTGATCTTTTCTTCCTATGCCTCTTGGCATCACAGATCACCGTGGCGAGATCCTAGAACGTGACGAGGAGACCGTCAGAAATGAGTCGAACTATGTAAACGTCAGCGTACACTCCATGTTTCAACTCTACTCTTCCGCCTTCTATAGCTCATGATACTCTAAAGAACTAACCCATCAATCATAAACCATGATTAACCATTCAAAGAGAAAAAAATCAACAGATAGTTGCACTGTACTTACAACTGAGCTCATGGCCGCCAAGTTATATAATTTTGACAGCAAATCAGCTTTAAATATTGAAGCATTTAATCTTCTCCGGCTGATACAGAGTCAAAATAGCCACTTTGAATTCGGAACAACAAATCTTTCATCTACTGGAGAGTTTGAAAGGATACCTAAACAATTAAGGAAACAACTTTACAACCAATGCACATGAATCAAATCCCAGACCAAAGAATCAAACGAGCTGAAATTGAAAACCACCAATCAGATTTTAAGAACCCATCTGACGAATCTAGTCAACGAAACACTAATATATAATTTGTTGCTTAAGTATTCTTTATCGGCTACTCATGTCCTACCTCACGAGAACTAAAGTTTTGACTTTTCTCGTCGATTAGAGAGTTGGAATCAACGATAATAAATGTGGTTGATGCAGATGATTTGGAAGACATAGCCGTAGAAGAAACAGTCGCAATGAAAAACATGATAATTCTAGGAAGCTTATGCAACCAATGGAGCCAAATAAAAAAAATTGAAACTTTGAATAGAGATCAAAAAAAGTTCTACGGTAGATTTGAGATATTTAGTTAGGAAAGTAGGCATTGGTCAGGCGTTAGTGTGCACGGGGGAAAATTAGAATTTCGTATGGTAAAGAGAAGAGGAAAGTCGAGAGAAAGTGTGCAAAGAATGTAAAGTATTTTAGAATGATATTAATAAGTGCAAAAGTGACTCTCAATAGAATTGTTTCTATTTATTATGTTTCACGTAGGTAAAGCCTTTTAATTAATTGTTTTTATCTATAAGTTGATGTCCCAATTTATTTCCAATCCAATTTTTTTTTACTATAAAACAGAGTAAAGTAGAATATAAAATAAAAAATATTTTAATCTAATTTTCACTTCAAAATAAAATTTATTACATAAATAGAGTAATACATATATATATATATATTTTTATTCCTACTATATTATAGAGTGAGATATGAAGTTGGATTAGAGAATTTTTATTTTATATTTCATTTTACTCTATTTTGAAAATTAAATTTTATATTAGAGTGCTCTAATTACGAAGGGGAAAATCCACAGAATTTAGCTGGAAGTATTATCATGGGATTTGAGTTAGACGGAAGCATTATTATGAGTTTTGAATTAGTTTGGGAATATTATCATGGGCTTCGAGTTAATTACTTTAAGAAAATATTTCTTATGTTTCATTATAAG